GCTGCTTCTCCCGGGACGGCCGCTCGGGGCCGCCGGGCACGGGGCCGCAGTGCTCAGTAGGGACGGCGGGGCTGCTGCTGGCGGTGTCACTCCTGGGGCAGCATTGCCCGGCGGGCTCGGCCCCGCCGCTCCGCACGGTGCGAGGCGGCCGCTGTCGGCCTGCCCCCGCCGGCTGAGCCTTTAGAAGGAGGTTTAGGTTGATACGAGGGAAAGTTCCTTTCTGGAAAGTTCCCAGGTCAGAGGTGGGGTCGCCATCCCTAGAGGGGTTCCAGAGCCGTCTGGATGTGGAACCAGGGGACAGAGCCAGCGGTGGCATTGGTGGTGCTGGAGAAATTTGCCTTTGTCTTTTCCAACCCAAATGATCCCGTGATTCTGTTCTGCCCGCGGGCCTTGCCTGTGTTTGTAAACATCTGTAACAAACGGGACGGGGGAGGGAACTTGGGAGCTGTCGTGGTTTTATGGCTCGTAATGAAATGTAGCAAACCCATAAGGAGAAGTATACATTAAACTGTATGGCAACCAGCTAAAAAGCCGATATACAGGTGGTAAGGGAGGAAGGCTCGTGGACGTTCCAGGAGCCCCGGTGGGCACTGATGTGCTGGAGGAAGCTGGCTGTAGGGGTGGGCTGGCTGGTGCAGCATTTTGGTGGAGAAGGAGGCAACACAGGCTAGGAATTTCCGGGGCAGGGAGACGCTGTTTCTTGCCGCTGCCTGTGCCAGCAGCTGCCAGGGTGAGTGAATCTGGCAGGGTTTTGTACAGTTATTGTGTACAGGTGTGATCAATCTCTTGGGCACTTTCAAGAAAACGTATGCCATTTTATGGTTCTTATTCCTTTCAGTTTTCCTCTTTGCATTGGGGTCCAGCCGTGGTCCCTTGCTCCGTGCGGGGATGCTCTGTCGGAGCACAGCCCGTGTCTGTATGGAACAATGTGAGCGCTGAAGTCCTCGGTAGCAATCCGGGAATAAATGTTAGGTCTGCCCTAGAACCAGCAGAGGCCGCTCCACGTTGCCTTTTAAAAGGAAAAACATCCTGGATTGCAAAATTCCTGGGAATTTACGTATAACCCAGACATGCACATTTTGGTTGGAAGTTTTACTTCTCTGAGCCTGAGAACGAACTTGTACATTAACAGTAAAATGTGTGAGTGTTTGCCAGTTTTACTTTGATGTAATAATTGCAGGTTTTTTTAACATTCTCTTTGAAGCCAACATGTCTCGAGAGACTGGAAGTGAAACACAGCAGTCTCAGAGTGCCCAGCAGCCGCAGAGTGGTACCAGTTCTTCTTCCAGTGGGTCACAGAGCACTAGTCAGTCTTCCTCAAGTTCTGGGACTCTGAGTTCCTTGGACACTGTTCCCACTCAGGAGCTTCCGTCCATCCCTGAGGACCAGGAATCTGAAGAGCTGGCTCCTCAGCCTTGGGGTCGACTCTTTGCACTTGGAAAAGGTTTCAGCAACTGTGGTATGTGCATACTGTAATAAACCTCTTGGTTTCTTCGTAGGATCTCAGAAAAGTTCTGAGCAGCTTGCTGAAGAGCAGTGTCTTTTCATTTTCAAATTAGGTACAAGCAAATTTAGCTATGGAACTTTTTGCTATAAAGTTTTATTCAATATGACATCCCAGTGTTTACACTGAGTACTTGGATACACAGCTTCCATAGACTTAGAGAAATTCTGGAGTATTCATGTTGTTACATGCTTAATTTTTTAAAAATGTTATAATTTATTTTATTTAGTTATACATCTCTATATTGCTGCAGGTGAACTGAGAAATATCACTGATAAAGAGGGTAAAATTATGAAAGGATTTGACAAGGTGCTTGTGGTGCTTTGTATGAGTTAAGACAAACTTGATTCTATGGGAAGAATCTTGTCTCTGTAATCCTATTCATTGCCATTTGGAATCATTCTGTAGTGCCATAGGTATTGACTTTCTGCAATGTTGTGTTCTCTCTCTGCTGTACTTTCCCCTCCTCTGCAGACTGTGTGAATGAGGAATACTGGTTTGGGAGAGACAAAAGCTGTGATTACAGTTTTTCTAAGCTGGGATTGTCTGAGACTGGCTTCTACCAAAACTATAGCAAGAAGCACTTCAGAATTTTCAGGGTAAGTGTTAAAAATGTTAACTCTCTATTTTGGCATAATTCAAAAAGAGACTTTAGGGCAGAGATCCTAAAGAAATCAAGGTATCTTCAGGGTTGACTCCTTTAACATGCCTTCTGGCAAAGCCCCATTCATATGGTTAATGAAATAAACTCACAGTCTCATTTCTTGAGTCAACAATAGTAAATTTCTAGTGTATGTCTACATGTCTTTATTGTAAAGTCATTTGTTCTTTACTGTCATTTTCCCCATTTTTTTTCTCTTTGAGGAAATGGGTCCAAAAAATTCCTTTGTTGCCTACATTGAAGACCACAGTGCAAATGGGACATTTGTTAATAGAGAGCTCGTTGGAAAAGGGAGGAGGCTTCCACTGACACACAACTCTGAAATTGCATTATCTGTACAGACCAATAAGGGTAAAAAGTGCTTTAACTTAAGTAGATTTTTCATGTATTGACCAAGAGGTTGTTTCTGCATTGATTTGAGTATGTTTCACGGGAGCTGAGCTGCTTCATGAGCACAGCTCATTAATAGGTGTTTTAGTACTCACATAAAAATTATCCATGCCCTTGTCAACCCTAGGGGAAAAAAACCTGAAAAAGAAAACTTAAAATCTGCATCAGATAGAACCTTACTACAGTAGAAACTTTTATAGTTGTTTTCCTATTTTTAAAACACTTTTGCATTTCAGTAGTTGTGCATATGATGGTAGGAACAGGGAAAACAGACTATTCAAGAAAAGTTGAAAAAATACCCCAGATACCTAACCAGATGCTTCACAATAAATAGAAAATCCTCTTAAAAATAAATAGGGCTGGACTTTTGTTTCTTTGTCTTTGATTTTCCACTAACATCCTATCTTCTTGATTATTACTTCTCTTTGATCTTTGCTGGTACACTGAATTTTTTGCTCCTTTTGTCCTTAAATGTAGTTCATTAGTTAAAGACTGTTGTGAATTTCATCCCAAAATGTAATTTTTCAGGAATAAGATCACCTAACCCATAGCTGGTATAATTTATAGCATATATTTAGTTTTTCCTCTAGCTGTCAGTATTTTCTCAGTTATATTGTTGTTGATAGAAGTTCACAAAACCTCAATGTTTGTTATAATAAAAATTTTAAACTTAATAATAGGCAAATTATCTCCACTTTTCTTCCCAGTGTTTGTATTTTCTGATCTTACGGTAGATGATCAGATGATGTTTCCTAAAGAATTCAGAGAGAAATACATCATGTCAAAGACTTTGGGAAGGTAAACATATTTCTCCCCTCAGTAGAAAGGGTTAACTCCATTATTATTATCAGTATCTTGTGCTGGAATTATTACCAGTATTAACTGAGCTGCTGTTTTAAATGAAAAAAGAAAAAAAAATGATAACATGTGAATAAACATGTTTTTTACAACAGTTTAAACAGGAATTTTGGCTTTGTCTCTCTAATTGGTTTGGGGTTTGTAATCTACCACCAATTGCAAAAACCAGGTTTTGTTTTGGTTGGGGTTTTTCTGTAGAAGAGAATGAAGTCTGTAAATTCTTAATGAGTTTTTAAAGTTTGTGTATTAATTTACTCAGTTATTGGAAATGGAAAAAAGCTTTATGCTAGAATACAGCTTACTACAAGATCACTATTGAGGTCCTCAGATGAAAAGGAAAAGAACTGTCCAAGAAAAAGGAGAGAGAAGCTATTTAAATGGGGGCTATTTTTTTCTCTCTTGGAAACAGTTGGTCAGTGAAGAATTTGGAGGTGAATAATTAAGTAGAAACAAATCTGAGTGGAAAATAGAAGAATTTCTTTCTGTAATAGAATTGCTATTTAGTAAAAATACAAGCATTGTCTTATCTGTTCCTCAGATTTGTGCAGTCTAGTGTTAAGAGAACACTTCCTAAGTTCTCTTTCCTAAATGCCTTTGCATGAAGGAAATGCTGACAGACCTTGTCCTTCCTATCTACCAATACTTTTGGTACAGAGTAGCTGCTCTGCATATTGACTCTTGCAGTTTTGAATGAATGACCCTTGACAACACTTGCTATTTAAATAGACTTTCTAACTCCTGAATGTTTCCTGACAAGTACTGTAGACTTTCAAATTGTTGAATACTTCCTCAGAACAGGCAATGTTGCCTTATTCAGAAAGTTAGAAATCAGCCAGCTCCAAGTTATGCTTTCATTTTCAATCTTGTTACACGGATTTTTGACAGAGCTGTGCTCTTGTTTTAGTGGTGCCTGTGGAGAAGTCAAACTGGCATTTGAGAAGAGCACCTGCAACAAAGTTGCAGTGAAAATCATCAATAAACGGAAGTTTGTGGCAAGTGGCCTGGGAGAGGCAGTGAGTATTTTTGTTTGTCTCTGTCTTGGCCACCTTGCAGTGGTCCTGGAATATTTGGTAACTTCTCTGACTCCTCAGCTATTCAAATGAGGATTTTCTTACATCCTGTCTTCTGTGTTTAATTTCAAAATGTTTTTTATCTTGTATGATGTCCAGAATTCTGTAGGAAACACTCGTTTTTATTCCTTGACCACGTTCCCTTTAACCCCTGTTAATGAGATGTATACAAGGGGTGGTGTGGAGTCTTGTAGGGATTGGTTTATGTCCTAAAATGCATCAGATAGACACATCATAACCAGCAGAGTCTTAACCAAAAATGTACCAACTAAGCTAATATTGTTGAATGCTTTATCATAATAGATTTTAAGAAAATTGTATGAAGCCTTTTGGGAAGGGCTTTTCATGTGTCCAATGGCAGAAGCCAGAATTTGGAGAAGAACAAAGACAACTGGCTCAAGATGCTGTTGTGAATTATAATTACTAATACATACCATTCTACAAAACAGACACAGGAGTATATCTGGAATGTTGTGTGTGAGTTGTGTGTTCCAAGATGATTGATTTGGATTGGCAGAAGAGCTAAAAAAACCCTGCTGAGTTGATTTCGTTAGTTGAGCCTAAGCCACAGATTATAGAATCTGGTTGTATTATCTTGGAAAACAGGAGAGAGTAGCATGTAATTATAGGTTGGCCCATATGCAAAGCATCTTGGAGGGAGAAAAGCTGTTCAAATACAATACAAGTATATAAGCAAAAAGAATTTCATTGTTTTTTAATTTGAAAATTAGTTGGGGATTTCTAACCTGCAGTGAAATTACATGTCTGGAGCAATATCTTGCTCCAGATAGTGACAGCACTCTGTTTATTTCATTCACTGAGGGCACCTGATCATTTTATGGAAAAAAATTGTATGTTATGGTCACTTACAGTAGCAAAAGGCATGAAATGATGTTTTTTCTGGTACTGTCTCTTATTTCTCATATGTCTTATTCCAGAACAGCTCTGTCTTACCCAATATGGTATTTGATTCTTTTAATAGAACCCAGCTTTAAACATCAATACAGAAATTGAAATTTTGAAGAAAATAGATCATGTGAGTGATACTGTACATTTTTATTATTTTTTGCTCTCTCCTGTATGTACTTGTTTAGTTTACTGACCTTAGTGTAGTAACCAAAGAGCAATTCTATCCATTTAGAAATGTGTTAAAGAAGGTATATAATTTTCCTTGCAAATTTTTGAACAGGTTTTTTTTTCTTATTTTAAGTATATTATATCCTAGCAGATTTGAGATTTTAAAGCATTGAATAACAGAAATGTAAATTTGAGCAGAAACATCACAGGAGAAGTTTTAGCCTGAGCCACTGTTGCAAAAATTTATCTTTGATGCAAGGTTTTGTAAATGCTGCAAAATAACTGAATATAAGGACTAGTTTCACTGTCAATTTCTTGAATTTGTATCCCCTCTTTCCTCTGTATGTAAAACAGATAAAATGTTGTGGTCTGGGGTGCTTGCAAGTCACTTGTGTTAAGTGTTAGTTTAAGTGACTGGTTTAAAATACTGAAATAAGAACTTTAGGATTAATTTTTTTATTTTGTATGTCTCTGTGTTCCCTTTTCTGTTAGCCTTGCCTAATCAAGATTAAAAATTTCTTTGAAGCAGAGGATTACTACATAGTTTTGGAGCTGTAAGTAACCTGTTTGAAAGTAAATGCATAAAATGAAATGGTTTTTTTCATAGCCACAATGACCTGTGGAGGTTTTGTTTGTTTTACTTTGTTTTCCTTTTGCTGGCCTCCACTGTTCTCTGAAACCTTTGTAAGATTAGGAGCTAGGATAACCAGGAGAAACAATCCTTCTGTGCTTTGTAGGCACTCAAGGCCTGGATATTGTTTGCTCTGCTGCTGTTGTGGATTGCTGCTATTTATTTTGATTTTTGAGCTCAAAATAGGGAGCTGACCAAAAATCATGTAACAACTCCCAGTGAAGACTCAAGAGATTGACCTTAGCCATGAAAGGGCTGTGTTTAGGATGTTGCTTACTCATTTTCAGAAGTATATTCTTTCTCTGTAGCCACTATAGCCAAATGTTTTGGTCTTAGTCTTGTCTAATAAGATGAATCTTTTGGAATTTATATGTTGGCTTGTTAACCTGCATTTGCTTTAGGATGGAAGGAGGAGAATTGTATGACAGAGTGTCAAGGCCAATCAAGATGAAAGAAGATATCTGCAAGTTGTACTTTTATCAGATGCTGCTGGCAGTAAAGGTACATAATCATGAATTCTACAAAAAAAAGTCAGTAAGATGAGTTTTTCTGTCACTGAAACCCATGCAAGCAATCAGTACAGCGTTCTTAGCAAGTTGGTTTAACAAGAGAGAGACAGAAAAGCAGAATTCCTACAAAGGTGACACAGAACTTGGGTCTGCACACTGTGCTTGCATTGAGATTTGACTTGGAAGAATAATTTATAAGGTGGTTTTTTGTTTCTTTGTGATGGTGTTTTGGTGCGGAATTTTTTTTTTGCTTATTTTGTTTTGTTTTCATTTTACCTTGCTTTTTTAAGGGAGAGTCACATGTTAGGGAGCTTTGAATGTATGCCCACCTCTTACACAGCCATTTCAGTTATCCTGCCATTGCCATGAGTAAAAATGGAAAGCTTACAATTTAAAACAAGTTAATAGTCTGTTTTTCCTTAATTGCCCATCTGTATGTATTTAGTATCTTCATGACAATGGAATTATACACCGAGATCTGAAGCCAGAAAATGTGCTACTTTCATCTTCTGAAGACACATGTCTTATAAAGGTAAGAAAACTAACATTTCTTGTTAATGGAGAAATTTGGGAGTGTTCCTTCACATTCTTCTTGATATTTCATTAAACATAGCCAAGAAGTTATTATGGAATTAATCATACAAACAATGAAGTAACTTAAAATATAGACTTTTTTTTCATAATTCTAATTTTATTTTTATGGATATTTCAACCCATATACTGCATATGTATTTTCAAATGTCAATGTATTTTTCCCCCAATAAAATCTACATTCTTGAATTACAGACAGCATTCCCACAAATATCCAGGCTTTATGGTGACAGGGATTTTTCAATTGTTTTGGTTTTTGTGAGGGGTTATTAGGGTTGTGGATTTTCTTTTGAGTTGTTTTTTTTTTTCCCCAGAGAAAGCATTGAATATATTTGCATGCTAAAATGCTTATTTTTCAAGTAAACTCTTCTAATAGGCTACAATACCTTTATTCTGTGGTTGTCCATTTATATCCAAATCTGAAAGTACTTTTTGCCAGCATGAAATGTGATCCTTTGTCATATTTCTGCCTCTTCCTCCTCTCCCATTCTCACTTAATGTTTGGGGTGACTTCTGCTCATAGTCTGTACTGGAACTGGCTTGGAAGGAAGAAACTTAGCTCTACCTCCTGATGTATGTCTACAATATGATGTGTTCTAGTACAGTCCATCCTAATATGTAATGTGGTGTTACCATTTTTAAATACGAGATTACAGATTTTGGACAATCCAAGATTCTTGGAGAAGCTTCTCTTATGAAAACATTATGTGGTACTCCCATGTATCTTGCTCCTGAGGTTCTAAATTCACTTGGGACTGCTGGATACAGCCGAGCTGTGGACTGCTGGAGTTTAGGAGTTATTCTTTTTGTATGGTAAGATATTGTGTAGATGTACCTTCACTGGGCAGTCTTTGACATACATGGCTTGAGACTTGGCAACTTCAGTGTCTATATGAGGAAGTGAAAGTGTGTTTAAAACTCTACACGTATAAAAACACTGTGATAGCAAATGCCTTAAAATGTGTGATTTCAGTGTTTCATTTGCTATGACAAATTCTGAGTTATTTAACTTGTTTTCTTTTATACAGCTTGTGTGGATATCCACCATTCAATGAGCAAAATACTCAACTCTCTCTGAGAGATCAAATCACTCATGGAAAATACACATTCATCCCAAAAGAATGGAAGCATGTGTCAGACATGGGTATGACTCCAGCACAGTGGGTAGTAAAATATCTACCTCTTTTCTTGTAGTTTTTGTTCTCCTTTTTTGCTCCTTTCAGCTGCATGGCACATTGTGTGTTTATGTGTTTAGTTTTTAAACTAATATATTAAAAACTAATATATTAAAAACTAATATATCAAAATATTTTTTAAGTTCATTGTTAAAGCATTAGAAAGAGCACATACTTTATTATTGAAGAGATTTCTTAGTAGTATTTAGCATAATTAACCACACAAGTATAGAGTTTGTGGGCACATACATCTATTTCTCCTCTTTTCACTTTTTCTTCTGACTTTATCAAGCGGGTCTACAGACTTTGCCTAAAGATTCTTCAAGTGTTGAACCAAAAACACCAGGAGTTAGAATTCCAAAAACAAACGTTCCAAGAGAGTCCTTTCATGGTGCTAGTCTTGGGAAAGTGTCAGTCACATTTGAGGTATCAGCTATTATGTTCAGCCCATTGTAAGTGAAGTTGTCTGTGAAACAGTTTTTGCATAACAAACTAAAATGATAATGACTGTCTGTGTGCTTTAGTTTTTCAGGACATTTTTATGCACAAAATAATTGTAGCATTTACCTTGGATATTTCTTTGTACGTGCAGAGGAGTTTCTAATAAATGATGTGGTCATTCTTTGTCTAATAAACTTATCAAATATAACTCTTTCCTGAATAGTTTGTAGCTTATTCAATAATAAGTCAGACATTCATGAGAATGTACAATCTTAACATAATTTCCATAGTCCTACTGGTATGTATTCAGAATAATCTGATCAAATGGAAAGTAAATCTTGCTGAAATTCTTTTATGGGAGATTTGGAGTAATAAAATACAACATAAATGCCATATTTTTCACATTGTCTTCTAAGCAGCCTCCTAAGAAGATGAAAGTTTGTTGAGCATACATGTGTATGTCCTGTCTCTTCTTTGCCACTATCCCAGATAGATAATCTGCTTTCCAAGACACTGCAAACCAGGATATATTAAGCTGTCTTTGCTTTTCCACAGTAATACCGAAGCATTTAGTGAAGTGCTGAGCCTCCTGTGCATGCTCAGAACATAAATTGTCACCATGCTAAATATATCTAGGGTAATTCTGGTATGATGAGAAGTGTTGAGTCATGTGCATATGAAGGAAACATATTGCAGTGTGCAGCCCTTTCCATGCACAAAAAAAAGAAAAGTGACCTGCCCAGCCTGTACTTTTGTGCATTGTTCTGAAGGGGTATAAGGCACATTGTCACACGTATTTTTGGTGTAGGCTTATTTCAGGTAATGAATGGATTGATCATATGCCAACCAGCTCATTTTATTATCTTAGCTCTGGATCTTGTGAAGAAGCTGTTAGTAGTGGATCCAAGCAAACGTCTTACCACAGAGGAAGCCTTAGAGCATCCTTGGCTTCAGGTAGGAATTGAATTTTAACTGAAAGCTGAGTTGTTCAGGGGGGTAACTTATTGATGTCTTGTGTTTTCAAAGATTTAGCCCCTGTAGAGAGACTGCAAAAGCAGCATGGAGTAGTCTCCTGAATACCTTCTTTCAGTACAATAAGCAGCTTCTGCATCCTTTCTGAGACACCTCTTCCCAAAACCCTTTCACATGTGAGGATCAAGATGTGTTTTTTAGAGCCTAAGCCTGACTGTGGTTCTGGTAGGATGGACCTCTCCTTTCAGGCATTGTAACAGAGCCCCATTTCCTCAGATGTTTGTGTGGGCAGGCAGTGCAGAGTTTGTTTCTGGCAAGCATCCAATACTACTTTGTTTTTACTCTGCTGTGTAGGAATAAGTGTCCCTGGTTTGGGAACCCTCTGAGTAGGAAGTGATGGTTTCCCTGCCTCCTGTTACAGTCTAATTAGATTTGAGAGGGATAGTCTTTAGGTGGTCTTTTCTTACTTTTGGCAGAGGTGTCCACTGAACCTATGAGCTCTCTTGAATATTTTTGCTTGAAGAGGCTGAAGAATGTTACCCAGCCTACATCTGAGCCATGCAACAGGTTCTGTTTTTTTACACCAAGCACAATGCTATTCCTGTTCCTCCCCTGGGACTGGGAACAGGTAAAGAGCATAAGAAATGGGGGAAGCAAGGGAGTATCCCTCAGTGCTCAACAGCTGATGGTGTTCTGAGACAAAAAACATGTGTGGATGACTCTTTTTAAAGTGATTAACTTGTCTTGATTATGCTCCTGGGCATCAGGAAACATTTCCTGGCATTCATGGATTTTACTTACTGTAGTTTTGCATGTAACATCTACAGTGAGTTAATCAGATATAGATTCCTACATTTAAATTATAAATCTGAGCAGAAAAAGTTCTTCAGAAACCATGCAACCATGCAACCATGATTTTAAAAATGGCTGGTATGCATAAATGGGAAGGGGAAATAGATGACTGATTTAGACAAGCTAAGAATTTAAAATATTTCAGTATATAAACTCAAGTTGTTATTAACTTGATTGTATATTCCATGTAAGGACATCTCTTACTATTAAGTTGAATTTTGAAGACAGAACAGAAGGTTCCAGAAAACATCATACCATAAATCCAGATTTGTGTAGCTTTTGAAATCTAGCATTCAGCTGCTGTTCTTTGAACTGTTTTCCTTCAGGGGCTGTTATTAAGAGTGTCAGGTGTTTTTAGATGAGGTAGACTGCCTGCTTGGAAGGCCAGCTTGCTCAGTTCTAGGTATCACACATGTTGAATGCCACCAAAAGAGCTCCTGAGTCCTGTTTCTGTGAGTAATGAGGAGTTACTGGCTCCTCTCTCCCTCTTGTGTTGTCTGGAAGTATCGTCTTCACAAGTCAACAGTGAAAAACACATTCTCTCTGTGACCAGCTGATGCCAGTTAGCCCTCTGATGATTTTGGGGACACTAGGGAATATTTCAGATACTAGAAGTAAGCATGTTCTGCAGATTTATTTAAACTAGTAGTGCTTTCAAATTAGTGTTTTCAAAACAAGTTGTTTACTCCATTCTTTTCTTAAATCTACAACTTGAAAACTTGTTGAGCTGTGTAAACCTAAATACTGCTCAGTGCAAGTGTCTTACCTGTACTTAATACTTACTAATTTACTTAATAAAACATTTCTTAAAGGCATATAAACAATTAATTGCTGTTTCTTCCTCTGAAATCTCCACTGAGGTCTTTTGAATGGCACAAGATTAGTTTGGCTGCATGCTGAAGAAAAAACACAGGTCCTTGTTACATGAATGGAAAAATATTTCTTACCTTATCCATCAATTCAAATGTAGCCACAATCAAATCAGGTGACACTGGAGAAGAAAAACAAGTCAAAATTCTGCATAAAATTAAATGGATATTCAGGTCAAAGCCTTTTTGTAGCACTTAAGAATAGTTAAATAAAATAAAGGAGATACTGCAGTTACTCCATTGCTTAGGAAAAGGACCCTCTCCATTCCCTTCACCTAAAAAAACTCAGTTAAAACAGCTGAAATCCTTAGGAGCTCAATGATCTTTATTTCTAATTGTCTCTAGCAGTGAATATCCTAGTCACTGCTCTTTGAGTTTCCCAGTCTTTGCTTTTCCCTTAGGTATTCTATAAACTACTTAGATGCTGTTTGTTTTGGGTTTTTTTTGCAGGATGAGGATATGAAAACTACATTTCAACAGCTACTTGCTCAGACATGTACCAGTATGAATCCACCAGAAACATCAAATATGGTATGTACAGTAGATATTAGAGGATTAATAACTGATGTACAGATAAACTAGATTTTGAAGTAATCTTTAATAAGAAAATCTGTTAATTTTGAGACTTTAGAGAAATGTACCCTTGGGCTATATGTGGCAGCCTGTTGTTAGGTTAGTTCTACTTCCTGAAGAGCAGCAATGGATTTCCATGCTTTGTCAACACTTTGTTTACATGTATAGAAACACTTGCCTAGGCTTTAAAGGATTATTCCTATATTTACAATAAAATGGTTGAATGTATGTTTGTTTTTTTTAATGGATTCAAGTCACTAATGTGACTAATGTAACTTACTAATGTAACCTCATGCTGGTGCAAGGTTAGGACAGCATTGTGCCATTCATCACCAAATGCTAATTAGGAAAACTGAACAGTAGCTGTTTCAAGCTGGGAGCAATGTCTTACATGAGAACCAGCAAATATAATTAGATGGATCTTGGGAGAGAAACATGGGTTAGTCATGCTGCTTTTTTGGTCACACTGTCCAACACCTCTGGTTGTGGAGCAAGCAGAAGAGTCAGGCTCTGCCTTACCTGGTTTCCTGGAGCCATCCTCCTGTGTTTGTCTTCCAGCGAACCACAACGAGAAAGCGTCTCCATGAAAATGAGGAAGAATATGGCTCTGCTAAGCGTGCTGTTCCTTCTACATCATTCCAGAAAATGAGGTGAAAAGGAGGAGAAGACTTTGTTAATGACAGCTTTTTTATGGGAAGCAGAATTTTTTATTAAGAAAAATCTTAATATTGGAATAAACTGTTGATGATGCAATTTCCGAATAAAAATAACTTTGTAAGACTGAAGTGACTGCTGTGCATGCATGAGAATCTGCACAATTAGTCGTGTTCTAGTCCATTCAGCTCTCTGACTCAAGGAAAGTATCAAAAAAGGCTCCTGAACTAAGTTACTAACAATTTTTTCAGCTGGCTTCATCCCCACCTACCTTCTCTGTTTCTTCTTTTCCCATTTCTAGGTTAGGCATGGAAATAATGCTTAGTCCTAACAGACTAAGAAGGAATACTAAACTTGCTGAGCTTTTGCCTGAGACAGAGCATTACCTGACACAATGCTGCCCACAGACTTCTGAGGACACTTAGATTACTCAGTTCAGATACAAGACTTCTGATGGAGCTTGAGGTGCTCTGGGCTTCAGGTAAAGCTCCACAGTAAATGCTGAACTCACAGCATTGTGCACTGGGATGGGGCTGATTGGCTTCCAAAGCAACCATTACCATCTGCATGGTGTGTTTAACGTGTGTACTATGTTTATTTCCCAGAGGAGGGATGAGTAAGAGGAAACACGATAACAAGAGATGAAATGAGCATGTATAAATTCCCGTCAGGAAAGAGCTAGGGATTGAACTGAGAGAGAAAAACTAGCTTGCCTGTTAGGTGAAAATTTTGAATTGTGTGTCTCTTACTCTAAAGGATTATTAATTTCATCACTGACTGAAAGAACAGTTTAGTAACTCTGTTCTACAAAATGCATCTTCTGGTTAAAGGTATCTAAGTTGATTTGTAAGGAAAAAAACCTAATGTGTTATGGAATAAACCCGTATCAGGTAGGAATTAAGATATTAATGAGATGCATTTCCTGTATGTACCCATTGCAGAGATCTTGTGTGTTTTGATATATTTGATATGAACCAATGTTAATGATAAAATGCTGATTCTTGTACACTGATATCTTTCTTAATGGATTGTATGGAGAAACATCCATGGGATGGAGAAAATACCACTGGTTCCAGTCCACTCCAGATACACTGGGGTGCTAGAACAAAGGTGTGTCTGTCCTTGGAGATGTGCCATTTTGGTGCAAATCTGTCACTAGCACATCCTCAGGGAGTTTACTGTAGCTCATTTGAAGTAGAAGGGGAATGCTCAGCTGCCATTTGCTACATAAAAGAATCAAAGGATGCAGTATATTTGGGCCAGATTTGTGTCCTGGTGTACTGCAAAAACTGATCCCTGTGGGCTTTGGTTACTGGTTACTTTTAAAAGACCTGTATCATTGCTGATAGGAATTCCCTAGTTTCTACTTACACTGTCAATTTGTTTTCAGATAGAAATATAAAACTTCTCTAATTTATTCCTCCATCCCACAGTTGGTAGATAATTGGTAGCTGCTTTGCTTGGGTCCTTTCCCTGGGTCTTGACTAAGACCTGCTTTCCAATGATGTCCTAAATTTGATCTCACTCATTTGATGGCAAACCTTTGGGCTGCTGGCCATGTGTTCATAGTTTGATTGCCGTAAGCTCTCTTACGTTTCAGACTCATTTTTTTTCTATAGAAGAGTAAGTTTCACTAAGGTAAAGTGGCATCCCATTTTCACTTAGATAAGGACTTTTTTCTTTATCACTTATTCAGCGTAATCGGTTTTGCCTGTTCATTTCAAGAGGCAGGATTGGTCACAGCAGCTGGAATATTTGGGTTAACCAAAGTGCTGAGGCTCGCTGTGCCTGGCCAATGCGGTGTCATTAGTGACCAGCATCACCACCTGCGGTCCGACGTGGGCCCCGCTTACTCTCGAACTCAGGCTGCCGCTGCTTTTGGGCGACGCTCCCCCGCCCGTATGGCGACAGAGCGACGCCGGAGCTGTATCCTCCGTGGGGACGGAGCTCGTCCGTATTCGCGGAGAGGCGACCGCAGGGACCGCAGAGGTGCGGCCGAGCGGCTGCCCCGGGCCCGGCTGGGGGAGCCCGGGCTGCAGCCGC